ACTGCTAGTGATCGGGAGGACCCAGGGCAACACTAAAGCGCTTAAATTCTGAGCTTAGATACTGCACCTTGCGTTCAGATCCTATCCCCCTGCTGCATGGTCTGTGGGGCCATGAAGAAAGCACTGTGGTCTCTCTGTAACCTAGTTTCTTTTTGGAAAATGAAGGAAAAGTAGTACCCGTGATTGGGAGGGACAAAGGAAATAGCCTGTGTATAAAACACAGCTTTCTGCAGAGTCAGCTGCTGCAACGATGCTATTAATGAAAAAATGTTATTTATCTTTTTTTTTAGTGATTCTAGGTTATTCAAATAGGGTGCATCTCAGATGATTAAGGTGCCGGTCATAGGAGGTATGGAAATACCTGTCTCCATTAGGCCTGTCATCAAACCCTGTTTAGACCTCTGTAAAGGTAAAGAGGTACCAAGACACCAAGTTTGTGGGACCCACGTAGTCTTTCAGAGTCATCCATTATCTGTCATATTTATGAAGCAGTATTTGGGGATTTGGAGATGGATTGTCACGGAGGGTGTATCAGTGGATTTATGGCAAGGAGCCCACAAAGGGTTAACTCCTGCTGCTGGGAGAGTCAATTTGTGTGTCCTTCTTACTATTAACAGTCAAGCAATCTTTTTATTTTTACTGTTTGACCAATCCACAGTTCTCAGACGTAAGGTTTAATAGTTTTGTTGCTCCAGTAGAAATACACTTATCTGTGCCCCCAAGTAAGTGTGCTTATATCATCACAGAGAGAATAATCATCTGCTGCTTTCCTAGTACTCTAATAAAGGTGAAGAAAGTGGAAACATTATATTTTCCTCCTTATGATACTTTCTACTTCCTACGTTTTATAGTGAAGTTGTTGTAGGTAGCACAACTGCTAAGACAGCCTTAACTTTGCCTTATGATAATGGAAATTGGAGGAAAGTTTTTAGATTTCTGGGTTGCTTTTTTATTATTTTAAAACTAGAGGAGAGGCCAGGGATATAGCTCAGCGGCACAGCACCTGCCTGGCAAGTGCGAGGTCCTGAGTTTGATTCCCGGTACCCCCGCCCCTTCACAAAAAAACAAATAAAACTAGAGTAAAACACAGTTTTCAACAAGACCGTGTTTTCCCAATGAAAATATCACAAAGAGTTTGAGATTACGAAGATTATTAGAGAGTTGTATATTCAAGTTTAAGCACAAGAACCACAACTTTTAAAGGTGATACTAATGCGGTATCTTTTTATGGATTGCTTAGTTTTGCTGGGGTTTTTGTAGGAAGTAGGATGGATTTGATTCTTTCACTGATATGATATTTCAAAATAAGTTATTTCAGAGAAATCAATTTTATCTTACATCTTGCCAAGAAAATAATGGATCATACATATAGGCAGTGTGGGTTTCCTTCTTCTGCTATTAGTACCAAAGAAAAATTCTCACTATATGCTTTATTTATTTATTTTTTTTTTAGTTAATGTGCTGAGCTACTTTTAAAAAAATGTAGTTCCCAATTTTCTAACCAGTCCCAAAAAACAGTAAGAAAGCTCTAGAAAGCTAGCAGGAGAGAATCTTTTACAACTGCCACTTAATACCAGTAAAAAAAAAATTCTAAAAATAGTTTAAAAGCATCTCAAGTAAAGTTGAAAATGCTTTAATTATCTTAGATGACTCAAATTCTAAAGGAGACACAGGGAGAGAAGGAGGGAGGGAGGGGAGAGAGAGAGAGGGAGAGAGGGAGAGAGAGAAAGAGAGACAGAGAGAGCACACCTATTATTGGAAGATTTTGTGATCCATGCCTTCACACGAGAATAACTTCAAGAATTATATTTGATCTAAGGTTAAAACAAAAATATATTGTAATGTTTATATATATATATATATATACATAAACACACAGGCCCGTCTTCGTCTACTTGTAAATACTGTGCTTTATTGCTTGGACATAGTCACTAGTAAGGTTAACCTACAATTTTTTGATGTGGTTTCAGGTCTTTGGAAATCATATCTCAAAGATGAATCAGCAATTTAGATTTTGCTATGGTCTAATTAATTTTGAAGTAATTTTATTTCTTGGGAATACTTTTAAATTTTATTATATTATTGGTAATGAAAATATGCATACATGAAAAGAAATAAGGTTAACATCTTCAATAATGTAATGAAAATATTCCCACAGTGTATCACCGTGTCAGCATTCATAATCAAAATGCTATTGAGGAATTAATTCTGAGAAAGCTGGCATTATCTAGGGTATTTTCATTGTTTAGTAAGATAAAGCAAATACTTTATTTGACTGCTGTGAGAATGAATTAATTGTTCATGTAGTACTAACTATTTAGTAAATCTTTCTAATTAAAAAATAGCCTACCTAGGGCTGGGTTATAGCTCTCTGGTAGAGTGTTTGCCTATCACGTGTTTGGACTGGGTTTAATCCCCAGCACTCGGGAAAAAACTAGTTAAAATAATAGGTGAAAATGCATAAGGCATGTAAAAATATTTTAATGTTTCTTAGTCAACTATGAGGCATATAATCTATTGTGCCTGGTAAAAATAGGGATTTAGCCCATGGTAAATCTGTACAGCAAGACCATCACTGGCTGGTGATTTTTGACTGTATGCCACACACTGTGAATTTTTCTTTTTTTTGGGTGCTGGCTATTTTCATATTTCTATAAATATTAGCTTTTTTCTGGGACATACTTACACCCCTTGGAAATAGTATGATCTTTTTGCATCTTATTTTTAAGATTTCTTGGCTGAGACCAGAACAGTTATTAGTCTAGAGCCATTCTGGTTTGGTTTGGTTTGGTTTTGAAACAAGGCTCCTTATGTAGTCTAGATTGACCTTGGACTCACTGTGTAGCTCAGGCTGGCCTTGAACTGTGAAGAGTCCTCCTGCCTCGGTCTCTGAAGTGCTGTGATTACAGATGTGGACCGCTATGCCCAGCAATAGGAATAATTATTTTATTATACTGATCCAAGAACCATGTTTTTTTCAGTCTGGCTGGTGGGAACAGATGCTATTCCCACTTTGTGTGGGCTCTGAGTACTTTTCTCTGTAATGTTCTTGGGTGGTTCTTCCCTTGGGTTTAGCTGCTTTCTGCACATGTGTGTGCTGATCAGTACACTGCTGAACACTTGAGGGGAGCCCTCTGTAGACCCTTGGGGTTCTCGCCTCTGGCACTCTGCCCGGCACTCCAGCGCCCTTGGCACCTGAGAGTCTTAGCTTCCTGGAGTCTTCAGCCAGCGAGTCTCCTCCATGCCCTGCACCGTCCAGACTCACCGGACAGTAAGCGGCGCCTCTGGTTTCTTGTCTCTCAGGGACCAGTCTTCATTGCTGATGGCCAATGTCTAGGAAAACATTATTTCATATGCTTTGTCCCGTTTTTTTTTTCAGAAAGCGTAAATGTAGCCTCTGCTATTCCATTCTGGCCAGAAGCACACTAATGTTAAATCAAATCTTAAAAGATATTGACCTTTTAGTTTAATTTTCAAAAACATAGGTTAAGAGCTTCTGATGATCTTTTCTCCAAATGAGATTATTTCTTTTTAGAGAGGGAGCCATGGCTCTATGGAGGCAAAACGAGATGACTTTTTAATCCCTTCTGGCTGTAGAACTGTTCTGATAGTATCTTTTAAAAGCCACACTTTAAACATTGCCTCAATGAAGATTTTAATTTGGACAGCATACACTTCCCATTTATTAAAATAATGATGATTTTTAACCAGTTATCTCTTTCCTCTGTTCTATCCAACAAGTGGTAAAGATAACATAGTGAAGAGGCATTGTAATTTGCCTCTATACCCTAAAAAACCAATTCAAACTCTATGTTCAGAAGCATAAAAGTTGCTTTAACTTTTGAATCATTAATCTCAACCTCACAGATTTCTAGTTCATGTAGATAATCTAAGGTATGTAAAAAGCTGTATCTCCAGAAATATGAATTGTAGTGCTAATTTAAATGGGGAAAATAGAAATAATCTTAATATGAAAATAGATGCCCACTAAGGGGTGAATATCCAGGAACTATAAAGAATTCCTGCAATTCAATAACAAAAAAATCAACCCAATTCAAAAGTGGGCAAAGGATCTGAACAGGTCTTTTTCAAAAGAAAATGCACAAGTGGCCAATAAGCACCTAAAGATGCTTGGTTTCCCTGAGCAGGGGAATGCAAATCTGAAGGCCCAGTGAGATACTGCTCCACACTCTTTATGATTGCTATTACTTCAAAGAAAACAAAAATACATTCTGGCAAGGATGTGGAGCAGTCATGTCTCTTGGGCATGTCTGGTAAGAATGTAAGATAGTGCAGGAAACAGTTTGGTGTTCTTCAAAGTGAAACACCTAGTGACCGTAAGACCCTGCAGTTCTCTTTCTCCCTGTGTACTTACAAGAGCTCAGATCAGAGAGTCAAACAGATATGTACACACCAGTGTTCACACAGCATTATTCACCGTAGTCAGCAGGTGGAAACAACTCAGATGTCCATTAGTGGAAGAAAGACAAAATGTGTTTGACACATGCAATGGAATCTTACTCAGCCTTAAAAAGGTGGGATATTCTGATACATGCTATGGCACAGATGAACCTCGAAGGCTCCATGCTAAATGAAATAAACTAGACGAAGGAGACAGGGACTGTATGATTCCACACGTACAAGACAGCTGCCCTCCTGGAGATAGAGAGTACTGGTGCTTGCTAGGCAGGGGCTGGGTGAGGGCTGAAAGGCCACGGAGTTTTAGTCTGGGATGACGAAACTGTTCTGGAGATGATGGAGATGCTGGCCACACAACACTAAGTGTCATTACTTGCCACTGAACTGCGTGTTTAAAAATGGTAAAAATGGTAAATTTTTTGTTATGTGTATTTTACCATAACGTATGTATTTATCCATGTGCATATGTATGCACATACACAAAATAGGTGCCTCATTGAATAAGTAATTCACTTTTCAGAAAAGTGAAAACCGAAGGAGTTTTGAGCAAGACTTCCACTCCCTCTGCTCTTCCTCTCTAGGGGTGACCCACGCGGCCATCTGGGCAGCCTGCATTTCATACCTCAGTGCAGCTGTGCCCCCTGAACTGCGGACCTCTGCCCAGGGCATCCTGCAGGGCCTGCACCTGGGTCTGGGCAGAGGGTGCGGCGCCATGATCGGAGGCGTGCTGGTCAACTACTTCGGTAAGGACGGTGCTC